AGTTACATGATAGGAGTTGCATCCGTGTCTTTTTCAGTAATTTGCCCAGTCTTTTATATTTTTTCAAAAATAAAAAAAAAATAAATAAAAAGGAAGTTTGCAGTGCAGCAGACAACGTACAACTCAAGTTCGACCTCCAACCCACAGAACATAGATCCACAAAAACCAAAAAACAAAGCGAAAACAGCAACACCCTAGGGAAGTCTACCAATAGTATACACATGCCTGTACCTGAACCAAAATAAAAGTATATGCAGAGGTAGGTAGCCGTCATCCTTTCATATCAATAAGCAATTGAGGCTAGGAAGTCCCAATACTTCATTAAATAGATCTTCCCTCCGCAGCTTACTCTAATAGGTGGGGGTTGGGTTTAGACCCGCTCATAGCTTTGGCAAAACGTGTTTCTAAATACTAATAGTTTTGATGTAATAGGGTAGAGAATTAATGTGCAATTTGCCTTTCGATATCTAGGCCCCAGCCCTGCCAATTTTGTAACACTAAGTGTGGTTCCCTTTAAACTTTTTTCCTTAAGGGGAGCTCTTTTCTATCACTGGTAAACTGACCCTAAGTGACAATATTTTTATGTATAGTTCATATTATACTCAATGCATAACAATACAGTTGAAGAACAGCTGATAGAACTGTACAATGAACAGCAAACATGAACTCAGTAACTGCCAGGAAGTTTGTGTAAAAACCCAGAGATTTGGATGAATTTTGAGCAGATTATTTCCTGTGAATATTGATCAGAGATGAGTTTTACTGATATTGGTACTTGGGAACTTGTTATACAGTTCTATGTCTGTATTGTGATTTTTTAAAAATGTTTCATCATTCATATTTAATTGCCTTTTTAAAAAAACAAATTCAGTGTTTTCTTTTGCCTGATCAGATCTATCAGACACTGATGGAGTCTTTAAAGTTTAAATCTTAAATNNNNTTAAATAATAACTTAAACTTTAAAAGTAACATTTTCATTTAGTTTTCTTCACAGAAATGAATGAAATACTGAGATATAGGTCGTGTATATTCTTAAAAGGTTTTCTTACACTCCTTGTTACACATAAAATCAAGAGGGCCTCGCGACCCCCTGTGAAGCTTTGCTGAGCCCAAAAGGGGTATACTTGGGAAAACCATCCATTTTCCTCAGTCTCCAGTTTGTGGTTGTACAGTTTCATGAGGCTGTGATTATCCCAAAGGTCACAAGAGCTCAAGTTCGGTCAGGTTTCAAGAAAATAGTCTCACTCACATGTAATGCCTACAGCTGGAACTGAAAATAGCCATGCCATCACCAAAACTTAGCCTAACTTTGGACAAAGCATGACATGGTACCAATTGTCAACCTATCGTGACGTCACCCATTGGTTTGTGGAGTACCGTTTTGTAGCCTCAAGTTTAGCATTATGGTTGTCATTTGTCGGAGCCAGCTGAGGTGACGTACTGCGAGTTGAGCTGCTCTCCTTGGTTTCGATTCATCCATAGCAGGAAACAATGGCAGCTCACCTGGTCACACCCAATTTCGTAAAGCTAAACAGTACACTTTGTTTATTGAAACTGCTTAATTAAGAATCTTTTTTAACTTACAAAATTGAGTTTGCATTTTACAGTGTATCACTTTATAAATATAAATGGACCAGTGCTGATGTCCAACCCACACAATTATAAAGAATGCAACTGCGAGTAAGGGACTTTGAATTTGTAATGAAGTGTAGAGATGCATGGTACACTGAATCAAGGCTCTGTAAAATGGCAGAGGCAGCATGCATATACAATATGACAATAAATCCTCAAAATTTAATTCTAAAATAAACTACTAAACTAGATTCAAAATATGTACATTAAATAATTGCTTGTCGCCTATCCTAGTGTTTTTCCATTTGCTCCCATTACTCTCATTCTTTCATCACCAGCAAATCTCTCGCTGTGTTTTTGTTCACCTTCCTCTGTCGTCCCACTTTCTCTTCCATCCCCCCTACCTACCTACGCCGAGTGTGCTGCCACACTTTTAATCTTGCTCTTTCCTCTTCCTTTCTTCCCCGCTCCACTCATCCCTCTTCTGTCTGTTTTGCTACCTCCACTCATCGTCCTGCTGTCATATGGGCTGTAGTCCAAACCAAAAAGGAAAAGAGATCAAAGCTTCCCGTTGCTCTCAAAGGCCACCAAGATCAAAGGGTGGATATATAGGCAGACTCTCATACTGTATAAATCCCATCACACATCTATACAGGAACACCAGTCCAGCTGATAGAGCTGGTCTGAGGTGGGAAGGAAGAAAATGTTTTTAGCAGTTGAATTTAAATTTGTGTGTGTGTTTGATGAGTTATTGATTACACAAGCTGATGGGTGCTTCTTTCTTTGTGTGATGTATTTTTCTGCAAGTTTCCTCTTTTTCTTCTGGTTTCCCCTTGCACTTCAGTTGTTATCACAGTTGACAGGGTACACAGACAGCCATGCCAAGCCATCTCCTCTGATATGCCGCCACATAACCTCACTTTCACTGTTTGATTTTGGTTATTAAAATAATATACCTTAATATATAATATATAATATACAGTAATTGTGACATGCATTATGTGTCAAGCTTGCAGCATTTATATTAGCAGGAATGAATTGGATTCCATTTTTGTCTTGTTAACCTGTAGCCTTTATAGACAAAATCAGTTAAATTTGTGTCAGAGGCAATTTTACAGCAGTAATTATTGATTTTTTCCCTGCCACTTGGGGGCAGTAGAAAAGGCTGTAAACATAACACTGTCATATAACCTTATACAGATGTTTTGGCTAACAGGTCTGCCTACACTGAGTGACATTAACATTTATTTATGTCAACCTGATGAATATAAGTCTGATATTAACTCTCTTTTTATCTCAGTACTAAACACAGTTGAATTAACACCTTTCTATATCAACAGCCTATGGAACATTAGAATCTTTCTAATTGTAGATTTTGTGACAGATTCACTGTATTGGAGTGCAATGTAGTGGCCACAAAGAGAATATAATAATGTAATTTTAAACTATCCCTTCATAAACACTTAAAATAAAAACACAATTCGATTTTTAAATGTATTTTATTTGGTGAAAGGGGTAATGCCAAAAGATGTTTGTGCAAATGGTTCATAAGAAGAGACGTTTCAGGCCTTCATTTGTTGTTTGGCTGTAAACAAGAACGACATAAAATGGAACTATTTTCAGAATTATTGCACTTTCTTGTAGTACTTGAATGCTGTGGCCCTCTATAAGATGAGTATACCAGCAGTGGCCCGAAGCCAATTTGAGTTTGAGACCCCTGTTTTAATGGCTTTTATTTGTTTTATTATAGTATCACAATAATTTTAAGTATTTGTATAGTAATGTGTTATATTTATGTACCACTCAGTACTGTTGTTATTTGTATTATTTTTTTATTTTTTTAAATCATATTCCATGCACATACTTTCTTTTAAGCCTTGACTGGGAGTTTGTGTTTTCTTTGTCATATGGTATCACTGTAATGTAACAGGGACTCACTGCTTCTTATATACACACAGTTTGTATTGATGATAGCCTGCCAGGTATAACTTTTATAGTTACACCATGGTATGTCACATCAGTAAACGTATCTGTATTCCCAGTATATTTATAGTATGGCCTCAAAAGTGGTCATTATTAACCATTAGATTGTGAGATTTTGTTAAATATTGTGGTATCCATCAAATGAAATGTTTCCTACTGTATGTTGCACAGCAAAGATAGTAAAGAACATGTTAGAGAGATAACATATTGGAATATCCTCTACCGAAGCACCTTTAGCTTGGTTATTTTGATTTCATAAACCGTACACCAACACATTTTGGAACAGTAAAAGATGAGTAGTTCAGGTTTAAAATTACAAATAAAGCAAAAGATGTTTAAAGCTGCAGCAGGTAACATCTATAAAAATAACTTTTTGTCATATTTGCTTAAACGCACTATGCTAACTTACGATATCCTGACAATAGTACATGAGACAGATCAGTGAAAAATCATCTAATTCTTCTGGCTCCTCCTAGTGCTCCTAATGGCATTTACAAGAATCCAATCAGAGCTAAGGAATAAAGAAAGATGCTTTGGATGGAGGCTTGAAGATAGTTGATTGGGAATGAGACTCTTGGTTGTTCTTATTTGCAAATGATTTCAATTTCAATTGCACTAGGAGGAGCCCCATACCAACAGACTATGATGCACTGTGTGTTCCTGACCACCTTTCATCAGAACCGAGCATTTCAACTGTTTCAGCAGTTTTGAGCTAAAGTAAGCATCAGTCTGTTTTATCGGACAACACAAGCCAGCTCACATCCCTACGTGCATCAATGAGCCTCGGCCCCCATGACCATGTCTCCGGTTCACCACTTTTCCTTCCTTGGAGCACTTTTTGATAGGTACTGACCTCTGCAGACCGGGACACCCCACAAAGAGCTGCAGGTTTTGGAGATGACCACGCAGTCGTCTAGCCCGTCACAAGTGGTGGCCCTTGTCAAAGTCGCTCAAATCCTCAACGGCTTGCCACTTTTATATTCATCCAAGCAAATAAGTTTCAGCAAATAAGACAAAAAGGTTTTTTTTTTTTTTTAAAGTTACCTACAGCCTACGGAAGCACATTGCATTCACCGGATAAAAAAAAAATTAAAACAATTTTATCCAGTGAATGCAATGCGCTTCCGTACGCTTCCGTATACAGCAGCTTTAAAACATATTATAAAGCATATTATTTTAATTGATATTACTTCTTAATGTATTTTCAGTGTGTATCTCTGGCAGACTGTTTTTACAGTGTGGTATAGGTAACTATATTTACTGACCTCAGGTCTCTAAACTGAACAATTATATAAATATAATTATGTAATACTTCTCAAGCTTAAAAAACATAACTTACTTAAGCCGAATTTATATTACGTACTAACTGTACTACAACACTAAGAACCTTGTTTTTATTCTGACTCTTGTTTCTATCCGGACATGAAAACAATGCTTGGTGTCACTTCCGGTGCCGGGTGAATGGCTCTCAGGCGGGTCTGTGAGGAGTCAGTTCCAAACGCTTTCAGACCAAACGTCCTCAAAATGTCTGTCGGAGAGGGACAGAGGAGACATTAATGAGCTAAAGTCCAGTTTAAGAACAACGTTTCTTTCACGGAAGCAGTAAATATAACGTCATTTTGTTTTTAAAATGAGTTGTGTTTCGCTGAAGAGGTTCTACAAGGAGCTGCCAGTGTGGGTAGTGGAGGACCACCATGATGTAAGCCCGCTGTAATATAACGTTACAGTGTAATACAGCGCTGTGTCTCGAGGCAGCAACAACATAAATGCCTGTATGTTTAGCTATATAGCTAGCTAGCTATAGCTGAATAATATCCCCTACTTATTTAGCAGTGAGCGCCCTTTAGCTTGGAGAGTAATAATGTGTGCCACATTTTGAAAAAGTCTACCTAATATAATTTTTATAGTGAGCGGGAAACTGGAGTTTTTTCTACGTTAAGTAGCATTTGTTTGTTTAATGCTGTGTTTCCTGTCCTGGTATCTCGTGGCAGTTCTCACAGTGATAGATAGATATTGGTCTGTCTCTTCATTGCCACTGGCCCTGTAGCCAATCAGCAGCCTGTTAGCAAGCTCTCCAGTTACTGTACCAAACATGGGCTGCAAGCACTGCTCAGATATCAGCTTACTAAAACATGGGACAGACGAACTAGTGCTGTGCCATATGACCACATTCTCTTATCCTCATTAAGGCTGCAAAATGAATCCAAATATAATTGTATTTGCAATATGGCCCGGTGCAGTATCCACATTGCAAGAAGCTGCAATTGTTTGATATAGGTCAAATGTGTGACAAACAGCATTATGATGAACTGTAATGCTGCAGAGATGTCCTGGCCTTCTGGTTCTCCAGATGTGAAAAACAAAACAGACCCCAACAAATGTCACATCATCATGATTTTAATAGTTTTCCAGTGAAAATGAAATTGTTTAGTACAAATAATCATTCTCACTAATTGTGAATCCCATTGCAATCAAAATAATCGCTATATGACTTTTTTACTACATACATACTACAACAATCAGTTGTACTTCTGCAGCTTTATAGACTCTCAGTATTGTTTGACATGATTCTTGTGAAGGGGGTTAAAGACGTTAGTGGTGTTTGAGCCTGTTTTGTGGACCGGACTGACATCATTTGCAACTTTTGTGTTGGACCCAAACCACAGCCATGTTTTTTTTGCACTGCATTCATGCAAAGCGTCGCCTAAACCTTATTGTTTCACGGATTATCTGTCTCATGTACTACTGTCAGGATATAGTAAAGGTTTTCAGCAAATATGATAAAATGTTATTTTTTATAAAAGTTACCTACTGGAGCTTTAAACAGCTTCCTCTTTATTTGTTATTTTAGATACCATCTGTAATTCCAGATTTGTCCTCCGTTGATCTCATCAACCTCTGCAGCCAAACCCTCCAATTTCTGCTCTGGCAAATTTCTGCATCTCTGGTCTTTAACTGTGCTTCATTCCGTAATTGCAAATACAGATGCAATTACTGCGGCATAAAAGACTTACCAAATTAGAATAACTTTGGTTGTTATGTGTGTATGTAATTCATATGGATTCTGCACAGGTCTTATTTTATGGCTTTCTGATGTGCTCTTTCTGATTATGGGTCTATATGCATAATGTATAATTACAGCTTAAATAATTGTTAACATACATTTTTTTCATCACATAATAATGAGTCAAAGAGCCTAAAATTGCTTGTTTCGCCATGTCTTTCCTAGGTGGTGAGTCATATCTATCGTGCCATTGCATCAAGACACCTCCCACTGAAGAACATAAAGATGGTTCATTTAGACTCCCACCCTGATCTGCTCATCCCGGTCAACATGGCTGCTGACACCGTCTTTGATAAGGAGAAACTCTTCAGGTATGTTTCAGACATACAGTGTGTTACAACCCAGACTAACTCGAGCTTTTCCTTCAGTCTGGTTCAGAGGGCTGGGAAGGTCAAATCCTGAGGCTGTGGCTCGTATTTGTCCAGTCTGAGGCTTATGTGAACAGGTGATTGCTGGATGTGGCTGCCGTGGCGTCACTTTCCTCTGTGGCTTGTTGGGATGGAAGAAGTGCCACAATTAATCGATTAGTTGATTAGCTGTCAACTATTAACTGAATCACCCACTGTTTTGATAATTGATTAACCGTTTTGAGCATTTTGTTTCAAAAAGTCCAAATTCTCTGATTCTAGCTTCTCAAATGGGAATATTTTCTGCTTTTTTTGTCCTCTGTGACAGTAAACTGAATATCTTTGGGTTGTGGACAAAAAAAGACATTTGAGAAGGTGACCTTGGGCTTTGGGAAACCTTTTTTCACAATTTCCTGACATTTTATGGACCAAACAACTAAATGATTACTTAAGAAAATGATGGACAGATAAATCGATAATGAAATTAACTGTTAGTTGCAGCCCTACTAGTGAATATGTTACTCGGGGGTCATAATCCATTGCATTTAGTTCAGTGTTGAGATTAGTATGAGGTCCACTGCGAGGATAGGATCTGTATTCAAAAACATAGGGGACAGAATAAATAATGTATGTATGTGGAGTAGAGCACACAAGTCTCCATGGGCAAAGGAAATTTATTCTGTTTTTGAGGAGGTGGATATGTTGTGTATCTGCAGGAATAATTTAAGTTGTAATGTCAAAAATAAGCTCTTCCTAAAATTTGAAGAAAAATGGTTAATGATCGAAGTTAAGGACATATATGCACACAAAACAGAATTTTGGCCCTGAATTATATGTTACAGCTCGTTTATCTAAACTCTAGAGATCTTTGGTTGCACTGTTGAGAGCTGGTGGTGGGGCATTGAGGTTTTCAGTCATGGAGACCCCTGGAAATGGATTAAAATGATGAAATATCCCGAAAACAATTGATGTTGTCCTGAAAAATATTTATTGTATTTTATCCCCTCAATTAGTTCGCCTACATAAACCTGGGTGCATATTTAGTTTGAAACTCGACAGTTGATAGCTGCATGGCGTGACACTGGAACACTAGACTTAAAGCACAACAGAAAAGTGTTTCCAATGCTCCCTTTTCCTTTCATCCATGTCAGTCAGTCTAGTTGTTCAGACCAGACGCAGAGTGGAACCGACTCACAGCGGTCTTTTTGGTGTCAGATGAAACTAAGAAACATCATCAATAAAAAAGTAGGAAAACTCCTGGAAAATGTCCTGGAAAAATCCTGGAAAATGATTTCTTGAAAAGAGTGGGAATCCTGAAATGACCTAAGAGAATTTGTGTTCCTCGGAATCAAAGCCCTAAAACATTCTGGTGCACCGATGAACAAAAATTGGAATGCCTTTTTAATTTTGGTGTATTTAAGTTTGCTAACTTTTTTGCGCCCATGACACAATAATAAAACTTCATTCATTCATTCATATAATCATCTTCAATGTTACTGAAGTAAGAGTAGCCCCACCCTGATTCCAGATGTCTGAAAGCTGGGGGAAAACAACTATGTGCATGACTAGATACCATTACGTTAAGTGTGAAAATATGCTACCTTGTTTTAGGTGAGTACTGCCATATGCACTGTGTTGGATTTTTTTTCAGTGAGTTGAGTATAGAAAACTGGATCATGCCCATGGTGTATGCCGGCCATGTGTCCTGCGTGGCGTGGCTGCATCCATACTGGGCCCAGCAGATCAGAGAGGGAGAGCACTGGATGTCTGTGGGCAGAGACTCATCCACAACCACCATCAGGTAGGAAGCAGCCGTACTTCTGTGTCAAATCAGTCACTGCATTATCTCTGCCATGTTTTTAGTAGTGTGTGTGTGTGTGTGTGTGTGTGTGTATGTGTGTATCTGTCCGCAACACATCCTGC